TTCTTTTTCATTAAAGGGAAAGTTCATTAAAGCTTATTAGGATGCCTTGTAATCCTAGAGTAAAATTTAACAAATTAATCTGATCCTTTGTCATAAGAAACAAAAAGTTATTTGTTTTGCTACTGGATATCAAAGCATATGGCTTTTGGAAAATGTGACTCCGCTTAAAGGCATTTTTTTCCTCAGAGTAATTTGCAGGAGACTGAGACATGGTTCGTCCTAACAGTGCAGGCTTCAATTTCATAGAATCATAGAATCATAGAATCGATTGGGTTGGAAAAGACCTCCGAGATCATCGAGTCCAACCCTTGGTCCAAATCCAGTCCATTTACTAGATCATGTCACTCAGTGCCACGTCCAATCTGCGTTTAAAAATCTCCAGGGATGGTGAATCCACCACCTCTCTGGGCAGCCCATTCCAATGCCTGATTACTCTCTCTGTAAAGAATTTTCTCCTGATATCCAACTTAAATTTCCCCTGGCGGAGCTTAAGCCCGTGCCCCCTTGTCCTATTGCTGAGTGCCTGAGAGAAGAGACCAACCCCCACCTGGCTAGAACTTCCCTTCAGGTAGTTATAGACGGTGATGAGGTCCCCTCTGAGCCTCCTCTTCTCCAGGCTAAACAACCCCAGCTCCCTCAGCCTCTCCCCATAGGACTTATGCTCCAGTCCCTTCACCAGCCTTGTTGCTCTTCTCTGGACCCGCTCCAGCACCTCAATATCCTTTCTGAACTGAGGGGCCCAGAACTGAACACAGTACTCAAGGTGTGGCCTCACCAAGGCAGAGTACAGGGGAAGGATCACTTCCCTGCTCCTGCTGGCCACGCTATTTTTGATACAGGACAAGATCCCATTGGCCTTCTTGGCCACCTGGGCACACTGTTGGCTCATGTTCAGCTTCCTGTCAATTAGTCCCCCCAGGTCCCTTTCTGCCTGGCTGCTTTCCAGCCACTCTGTGCCCAGCCTGTAGCGCTGCAGGGGGTTGTTGTGGCCAAAGTGCAGGACCCTGCACTTGGCTTTATTGAACTTCATCCCATTGGAATCAGCCCATCTCTCAAGTCTATCCAGATTCCTCTGCAGAGCCCTCCTGCCTTCCAGCAGGTCGACACTCCCTCCCAGTTTGGTGTCATCAGCAAATTTGCTGATGATGGACTCAATCCCCTCATCTAAATCATCAATAAAGCTATTAAACAGGACTGGACCCAACACAGACCCCTGGGGAACACCACTGGTGACCGGCTGCCAGCTGGATGCAGCTCCATTCACCAGCACTCTCTGGGCCTGACCCTCCAGCCAGCTCCTAATCCAGGAGAGGGTACACTTGTCCAAGCCATGGGCTACCAGCTTTTCCAGGAGTATATTATGGGCGACAGTGTCAAAGGCCTTGCTGAAGTCTAGATAGACCACATCCACAGCCTTCCCCTCATCCACCAGGTGGGTCACCTGATCGTAAAAAGAGATCAGGTTGGTCAGACAGGACCTGCCCCTCCTAAACCCGTGCTGGCTGGGTCTAATCCCTTGTCCATCCTGAAGGTGCTGTGTGATTGCACTCAGGATGATCTGCTCCATAACCCTGCCAGGCACCGAGGTCAGGCTGACAGGCCTGTAGTTGCCAGGGTCCTGCTTGCAGCCTTTTTTGTGGATTGGGGTGACATTTGCCAACCTCCAATCATCTGGGACCTTCCCAGTTGGTGAGTGGTGAGCAATTGCACTGAGCATCACTTGTTTTGTGTTTTCTAATTCTTTTATCATCATTATGATTGTTATTATTTTCCCTTCCATTTATCTCCTATTGAACCGTCTTTATCTCAACTCATAAATTTTATTCTTTCTTCCCAGTTCTCTCCCTCATCTGACTGGCATCAGGGGGAGATGGCACAAGTGGATGTGTAATGTTTATCTGCCTGTCAGGTTAAACCACAACAATGCAGATTAAATAGCATCCCGAATTCTGTTAAGACTAGGGCACATTTCTTCCTCCATACAGCTGGTAGTCAGGACTGGCCACCCAAAAATTGAAAGGGGGAGAAGCAGAAATATCTTCTCTCTTGGAATTAAAGGTTTGAATTTTAGCCCTTTCCAGTTTATCTCCTCCTATTTTACTTCTTACATAGTCTCACTTGTGTGTATTCTCAGCCAATGCTTAGCCTTTGTTCTGTCTTGCCCCTCACAGTAATTGGGCAGTGCCTACAGCAAGACACAACCAAAGTCCTTGCACAATCACCACTCAGGTTTTTTCTTAATCTTCTTACTAGAAAACATGAGCTTCCTTTCTCCTTTTCTGCCTCCCTCTTGGATTTATTCTAGCAACTTAATGCTGTACAAGCAATAGAGAAAGTTAGAGGAAACCCAATTTTTCATTTCTCTGACAGCCTGACCTAGGCTGACAGCTCTGCAGAGAAGGCAAGGTTTCCACGTGCTCTTCCCACCCATACAAGAACTGTGGCCCAAAGCAAGAAGTTCAATCAGGGTTTTGCCAAGGTATCCCAAAGTAAGATTTTCTGAAAAATCTTCCCATTTTGTCTTGTTTATGGACACAGCGCTCAGCTGGGCTCTGTCCTTCTAGTAAGACCTGCTTGGTGCAGAGCTAGTTTAGAAATCTGGCCTGAGGAGTGATCAACCTGTTTTTAACAGAATTTCCCCAAGTTTTATCAAAATCAGCATCCCAGTGGTTCCCTACTAAGGGAAAAGCAAGGAATTAGCTGCTTTCTTCTTTCAGGAACTGCTTGTCATGTGGAGATGAGCTGATAATTACTCTGCGGAGAGGGTCCTGGTTCTGCCCGGCAAAATGGGTGAGCTGGAGCTGTAGCTCTGTGGAAGCCATCCAGGGGTGTTTTCCTGGTCCCACTAAGTCTCCATGAGTTGTGAGGACTGTGGGAATTTGGTTTCTTATGAACCCACTAATGAAGAGTGGCAAATGACAAATTCCTGATGGAATTTTTTTTCCCAGTTTTCATTAACCTCTGTATGGATATTATTTTAATTAAAATAATCTTGACAGCACCTATGAAAAAGTTGTGGGGGTTGTAACAGTAATTAAATGTGTTGTCAAAAATGATAAGCAGCCTGGTATCACAGGAAGGAAATTAACACTCTGACCAATAATGAAACAGTAATCTTAATCCAGAGGTTTTTTCCTCTCAGAAACTCTTTAAAATGGATGGATTTTAGAGACCAGGCAATTTTGGAATGAGGCAGTTAAGCAATCATGCCATAAAACATCTCCATTTTAAAAGTCAATGTCATACTGGTGTAATAGTGGCTGATAGCCAGTCAGCAAGAAATGTGATGTTAATTAGACATTAATAGTGCAAAGTCTTGATGATTTTCCTGCATTTTGGATATCAGAATGATTGGGAATTGTGTTCAGCATTAGGTGCTAGTGGTAGGGGAGTTTAACAATGATCTGCATCAGTGCCAGCTGTTTCTTTGGGTTGTCCACTGCCGAGAGAAGGTGCGGAAATGCTGGCAGGCTGTTCACTGCTGTGGGAAAGATAGGGTTTGAGAGCCTTGGTGTCTAGGTTATGTTACCACAAGTCTTTTATTGCATGGGAGCTGTGCAATAAAAATACAGTTTGTATTTTGGTAAATTACAAACTCCCTAAATTACAGTATTTTGCTCATCTTGAAAGCACTGATTGTCCTTTAGATGAACTGGCATCAGACTTGGGCAGGCACAAGAAAAATCAAAACTTCTGTGCTGGTCCAGGCTGGAAGGTACCATCCTCTCCCCCATCACACCAGGCTCAGAAGATGCAGGTGAAGTTGCCTTGGGTGCAAGAACTGGGTCGTTCTGCTCAGCATGCTCACAGGGGTCTGGTGAGAAAGGCTGCCCAGAAAGAAACAAGCTGTAAAAACAGCCACAGTGTTACTATGGGAGAGGGTATCAGGAGTCTGAGCTAAGGCTTGGATTCAAATGGCTCCTTGGTAAAAGAGAACTGGGAATAGTCCATCAGTAGGCACCAGAGCTGATATGGGCAGGCTTGTAGGACCCAGGAGTGGATGAAGCTGTGCTTATTCAGAAAGTCTGAGGGAAAAATGAACCTGAAGAAAGTTTGTGGTTTCCTGGGCACCCCTGCCTGAGGTAAAGTCTTCTCTATCTGTCACCAGTGAAAGATTTGAAGGTATCCTTGTATCTAAGGATTAAACAGAGAAATTCAACTCCTATGTCAGCAAGAAAAGGGCTAGCAAGTTTAACAAAGATAATCCTGCTTTATCCTAATCCTGTCTTCCCAAATGTAATCCAAGCAGAACTGCACCTTAGCAGTTAGGGCTCCATTTGCCCTTCTGCTGCATTCCTGAGCTCCAACTTGTGCTTCTCTCCTTCACATTTACTTGTCCCACTCTTAGCAAACATGAGAATTAAAGAATGGAATGGTAGCATGTCATGTTCCTGGTTAGAGAAACCTGCACAGTAATGTGCCTGAGATGTTTCAAAAGGGGAGCAAGTTCCTAGTTCTGCTGAAGCTTTAATAGCCTGTTGTCTTTTCTGGTAATGTGTGGGTACCCATCTACAATGTGCACCTGTCTACACAGAGGTTTTTTTAATCTCCTTTTTTCATCCCTAAAATTAAAACAAGTCTATTCATTCAGTAGAAAGCTATATCTCACAAGAGCTGTGATTTGAGGAAGAAGAAAATAAGTAGCAAGATGTTAATGGAAGACCTTATTTCTTGCTTGCTTTGTGATAATGTCCAGCAGTGTAAAAAGACTGGATCCTGTTATTCCAGGGACTAATTCAAAATGTAGTAAGAGATGTCCAAGGACATCCACACTGTAAGGGAACTTGAAACATCTGAGCAAAAAAGCAACATGTAAGTATGAAGAACAGGGGGACAGCAAGTGCTTCTTTTCTTCTCTGTTCAAATATGTACTGTTTGTTCCTCACAATCCTCTAACTTACTGCTGTGGTTCTCTTATGTCTTCTAGTGCATGTGGATGAAGGCTTTGACCTGAGGGATGGTGACAGCCAGGACCAGCTTACTTCTTGGACTAAGTCAGGAGGGAGATTTCTACACTTAGAAGTAGCATGGAAGGTAACCCAGGAGGCAGCAGTGGCTGTAGAAGCCCTAAGACAGGCAGGGCAGGGCGTTCACTCAGTGAGCAGGACCCGCAGACTGGGACTCAGAGCTGTAAACAAGACTAAAAAGGGGTATCAGTACATAATGGAAAAGGGCAGAGATGCAGGACATCAGAGGAGGATTGATGGGAGCAAAACAGTAAGTGTGAAAGGGGCAATGGGTGAGGAATTTGGAGCAGAGAGGAGAAAGCAGCAGGGACAAAAGTTCAGCCTCCTCGATGATGACAGTGTTTTGTGGAATTGAACTAAAAGCCTCCCTTGTGAGGAAAGTCTCGGGTCTGAATAGCTCAACGGATCAGTAATGATGTTCACTGAGTTCCAGTGTCACCTTCCAGACTGAACGTACACAGGAAATGATCATACTTTCTCATTGATATAATAAAAATAAAAATTAAATCCAACAGAAGTGAAATATATAATTTCCAAAGTATTTTCCTACTTCACAAAGCCAGAAGTTTAAAAAGTTTATTTTGTAAGACAGCAATAGGCAACATGTGAAGTACTTCTAAGGTAACAGCTGTGTTGAGTAAAAACACTAACATACCAGACATAACATGGGTGGTAAACCAAACTTTTAGTACTCTGAATAATATAATTAAATTTTTTTACTGAAATTATTTCATTAAGAAAGATCAGCCTACATATGTTGAAAATTTGCTGTTATCCCACTACTCCTGACAACAATGCTGTTTTCAAAAAAATGTTTTTACAGTTTTCTTCCAGTAAACCACATCTGGATTTTTAACCTCGTTAAAAGTTTTCACTGTGCTTTTAGATCAGACTGTATTGTAATGGAATTGTTATTTGTCTCCAGATTTATCCAGTTCCTCCTTTCTGGACTGTCTTACATTTATCAGGGTCTCTAATTACATTCCTCTACTAGCTGACCACTACAAAAATTGAAATCCTTACCACAAATCTGTAAAAATGTTTCCACTTGCACTGGGAGACAAAAATAGAATAATTCCATGTCTTTTTGGACGGATGCCTAGCTGAAACTATGCAGGGTTTGACTGACAAGAGGATGTAGTCTTTGCTGAGAGCACTTTCTTTAAGGTTCTTTTTAGTCTTCAGGAACATTTGACTAGATGAATGAGGAGAGGATTTATGGTAGTTTCCTTTCATTTTTGTTAACTTTGCCTGCTTTTTTGTAACTTTTGTCTCCTGCAACAAAATCTTTTCAGCTCATCGGGCTTACTGAATATATAATCACAAGCTGGTAAGTAGTAACTTCAAGAGTTTTGGTTTGAAATGGTACTCTATTCTTTTGTGTACAGCTGTGCTAGAAGACTAAAACCCCTTTGTGCAGATAAGCAAAAACAGAATTATTTAAATGCTCTGTATTTGCCAGGGTTATAACTGTAAAGTGTAGTCTTTCAGTAGTGAATAAATACAGTTAACACATAGCTCAGCCTGCAAATGCAGTGGAGAGACTTTGAGTAAGTTCAGAATTATTTTGCATCTGAGTGATCTCTCCTCACTGTGCTGCACGGCACTTTATCCGTTTCCTGGGGAATGTGGACGGGAGCTTACAATGCACAGCAGGTAATTGGCTGCTTCAGCTGGAAAAGCAGAAAAAGGATATTTGTTGGTATATGCAGAAAGAAAATGAGGGCAAGTGGTAATTACTATTGGGTGATAATATTTGTCCATAGTCTTCTGAGCTGTCTGTGAAATTAAATCTATACTGGTACTTCGTAAGGGTAGTGAGTGTGTTCAATGTGAAGTTTAAGCAGTTGAGCAACTTTTTCTGTCAATGTATTTTGGACTGGAACTTTCATATGCTTTGAATGTGAAAAAGGAGGTGAATATGTGTATAACAGGTTTTTTCAGAATGCTTTCTTCTGCTGCTCAAGGCTTGTGTTTCTGTATCTTAGCACACATTCTTGTGTTGTTGCTTATTTTGAACCATATCTTCACCTTATGTGAATGGTCTTATCTGATGTCTATGGTAAGTGAACATACCTCAGCCTTTAGGAACTCATTTCTGTATTTCTAAAACTTGCGTACGCTGAGGCAAATATTTCCTCTTGGAAAGGGAAAGCTATTACTGGGTTAGATACTTTTTCTCAGTTGCACATGTGGCAGTTTCTACAGACAGACCAAAAAGAGCTGTAATGGTATATCTATGTTTTTTGTTTAAAGTGGTTTATATCCAGATGGGGTGTGGAAGTGTGTTGGCAGTGTAAAGTCAGTTGTACCAGGTTCCTTCTAAAATAGGGCCATTTTCATAAAAACTTTTTATTCTCTGCTTTTCCTATTCATGCTTTCTTTAACTAAATGAACCATGTAGTTTAAAGTCAAAGCTGATAGATACTAGAATAACAGCAAATCTGTTTTAATTTTCATAATATTGTGCAAAACCCCACCTATCTGAGGTTTGATAGTTCAAGAATCTTCGCATACAGGTAAATATGCATGATTAATTTTGCTGGAATTCATTGACACATGAATATAGTATTTACTTCAAAAATCTTTTGCAGTTTCATGTTGCAGGACTTCAGTCCTTGGACAGTTTGATTTTGTTTGCTGAAAATCTCACAAAGAACCATGCACACTGTGTTGGAGATTGAAATTGTGCTGCATCTGTAGAAAAAGACAAACAAAATATTTTATGGATTTGGTAGGTCTACATGGCTGTATGTAGAGAGGATACTTGGAAGACTGAAAAATAGATAACACATTGTTAGCAGTTTACAATCCTTAACAAACAAAGATTTGTTTCCTCCTCTTTGGTAAAGATAAATCCAAATGTTTCTTTGCTTCTTTTATACACCCTTGTACTCTTTGAGCTGGCTTTAAATTTTCATCAGTGTCATATGAGGTAAAATGTGTATTAAAACATTAAGGAAAATGGGGTTAAGACATGCTCTGTCTAATAAAAGATATTAGTATTTTTTGGCAGTCATCCTTTGGCCTATGTAATTTTTTTTCCAAAGGGCACTGACATTGCTCCTGGTTTCTTTATGACTATCATTCTGTGTGTCGATGTGCTTTTTACCCACTGACCTTTTTTATTTATTTTTTTCTGAATGCCAAATGCTTAATGTGTCATTTCTGGCAGAAATTTCTGGTGATCAAAGAGAAAATAAAATGGGCTTGAAGAAAGTTGCTGGAAAGGCACATACAGGATGGCACAGGCATGTAAAGCTCTTTTTTCCTCCTGCAGGAGTTGCATACCAGTCTTCATACCTACTTAATGAACACAGGAGGAAGCACATATTTTTCTTGGGCCTGGAAAGCAAATGTGGTCTCAGAGTGCAAGGTTTACTACCAGTATAATCAGCTAGAGTGGCATGAGAGACCGCGTGCCAACTTTCTTTTGCCTCCTGTGTACCTGGCCCAATTAACTCCATTCTTCATTCTTCAGTCATCTCCCCAGGTAGCTACCTGGTGTTAATGGGCCATAAAATGCATGGCACTGGTCCATATGGAAATGTTTTGGGGTGTAGGGGGTGTCTCAGCCCTTCATGGGTGTCTCTGAGAGCATCAGAGGTAGAAGTGCTGTCTGAAAGGAGATTCAGAGGATGTGTACCTGTGCCCTCTCCCTGACTGCTGGAAGAGACACTTTGAATAATGCAGGTCACCAGATGAAAGCTAGATTAGTTTGGGAGAGTAAATTAATGGCACAGAGGACCCAATGGAGTGAATTTCTGTTAAGCATAAAGGAAAGAACTTCAGCTGGGATTAGATACTGTTGTTCTTATCTCTTAAACAAGATTTCTTCCTTACTTCTTCCTGCCTGCTTGCCTGTCTCTGTCTCTCCCTCCCAAGCAGGGATTAACCATAACTTTTCTAATTGGACTTCTAAACGGATTGTGCTTAGTTACAAGTCAAGTAGCTCAGTTCTTTCCCTGCTATCGCTCCTGTGTTTTCTGAACTCTATCCCTCTGTCTGCAGAGGTCGATGGAGTGGGAGGTAGCAGGGGACAGATGGTCTGGTGGAAAGACACTCATTCTGCAGACATCAGATTGCAAATAAAAAGCCCTAGGAAGGCCTGAACTTCTGCAGGTGAAGCTCTGCAGGGAGGGAAAGCACCTCGTGCTGTGAACCCAGCAGAAGGAAAGAGATCCACAACTTTTGGGTAGGCTCATACTTGAAAATGCATTGAAAACATTTTAGCAGGCTTGTGACCTTTAAAAGAGATTAGACCTAGTTATTAGTTCATTTCTACCTAAGCATGTTATTTGAGTGAGTGCTCTATATGAAGTGTGACTAGTATGCAAGTGGCTTTTTTTGGTATTTCATAGAAATTGTGCAGAGCAGAGGAATGTATTTGATTACCTATACCTATTCCTTGGGGTCTTCCATGGATACGTGCTCAAGCTGAGCATATTATCCAGAGCATCAGAATTAAAACTGTTGATTGAAATTGGAGTAGATCAGAAGAGAAGACTCTGCAAAACTTTATGGCTAAGCCAAGCTTCTCAGATCCTACCTTTCTTCTGTGCATATTTCTGAGTGTACCTTTGACATCCAGGCACTCCTGTATGGATCTTGTTAGCATAAGGAAGAGGTGTTGCCAAACAAAAACTAATAACCTGGCAACCAACTCAAATCTGCTTGGAGTGATTTGAAGGAGCACTGAAAATTGGAAATTGGATTTCTGACTCATATTTTTCTGGGAAGGTTGTGACATATTGGGATAATACACCTGCTCTGTGTCACTCTTAGTCACATAGCAAATTTATAACATTTTGTGGATTTAAACCTGCCCTGGTCTCCTGTCATACAGGAAAAACCTGTGACACAGCCAGAAATGGTTGGGAAACATTTCCTTGGGAGCTCCTGTGGAGACACGGGGCCACTTGTGCCATGTCTGGTGGCCTAAATAGTTGTAATTTCCCCCCTGACTGTAGAGGAACCATTCAACAACACGTTTCTCTTCTTACTTTTTGTGTTTAGGAGGAAAAGGGTTATGTACTGCTCTGTATGTCATGCCTAGATCTGAAAAGT